ATTTTCATTCTGATGTAATAATTAAGGAACTTTGCTGCCTTACCGTGGCTGCAGCTGGTACAATGATATTACGCAGCACTGTTTATTGGTAGATAATGTAATTACAGAAAAGTCAAGCTTAAAATTGGAAAATTATGGAAACTCTTTGGTCATTTTTGAGCGAGATGCAAATGGATTTAAAGTGGCATATTCCATAATTTTTTTAATGCGACCGATCATGAAAGCAGTTTGCAAATCCACTCTCTGCAAAACTCATTCTTATTTTCTCTCCATTACATATCAGATCAGAATCGGCATGGGATGATACTCATTTTCAAGATTTAAAGTTGGAAAAAGTCAAGGTTTTAAAACCACCAAAATTTGTTATACCGTTCCTATGGTATGTGTACAACTATTTTATTAAGTCTTTTAGGGCAACAGTATCTTCAGCTTAAAAGGAAAACTCGCATCAAAAGCTACTGCAGGTCCAAACTATTATAAATGTTTCTTAAAATGAAATATATTGTGTTCAAAGGGAAAGAATGTTGTAATTTTTGACCCAGACATTTAAAAAAAACTTATTTTGTATCAGTAATGACAAAACCATGATACTGTGATATTTTTATCCAAGGTTATCATTCCATCAGAATTAAATACTGGCCCATGCCTAGTTTGGAAACACCTTTGTTTTTCAATATGAACGAAAAAAAAAAATTTAAATAATGAAAATAAAGTTACAAGTTCCTCCTGGGTATTTAATAAGTAATATTTATAAACATCATCTACTGTAATCTACTATGTGTAGAGATTGCAGCAATTTTACATAGTGTAAAGAATCTGTCTACTTACGGTACCTACATTTTACAGTTGTTTTATTCATAAAATAAATTAATGAAAATGATTCACTATAAATACACTTTTAAAAGTATATTTATAATTCAGAAGTGCATCAATGCAAGTAGATTCGAAATACTGGCAATTTTCATCAGATTAATTAGTATATTAAAATAGCCATTGAATGCTTTTAAAAAAGTGAAATCTGTGTACTAAAAATAGAATTACATGTGTAACACTTGTTTTGACTATACTATTAAATCTAGTAAGTACTTTTAGCATGAATACTTTATATTTTTTATTTTGAGGGAAAAAAGCTACTCATGAGAATAAAAGTGTTTGATTGTACTATTTAAAGATTCCATTACCATAGTTAAGTATATAAAAGGATTAACAACATATAGCTGCAAAAGATTTTAGATAAATTATTAAATATACTAGCACACTACTGGTCAAAAAAATTTTTTTCTGTTATTTTTTTGGTAATGAAAATTATTCTGTTCATCAAGGCAGCATTTGTGAAATGTAAAAAATATTGCTAAATATTTATTAAAATTTTTAATTATATTTTTTATTGTATTTTGTTTTAAATTATTACTACAGTCATTATTGCTTTTAATACTATTATTGTTGATGATGATGATAATAATAATAATAATAATAATAATAGAGTGATTTCTGAAGGATCCTGTGACTCTGAAAACTGGACTAATGAAGCTGGAAAATCATTTTTAAAATCACTGGAATAAATGATTAAGTTATAAACACTAAGTGCAATAACATTTCACTATTTTACAATTTGTACAGTATTTTTTATTAAATAAATGCAGCCTTGTGGAGCAGGAGAAGCTTATTTTAAAACATGTAAAATACTACTGACCCCAAACTTTTGACTAGTAGTATATATATATATATTTATGTATGTATATGTATTTTGGGGCAATACATTATAGACATACTTTTAATTTATTTATTCAATAAACTTCTAAGGGGGTCCCTACAAAATATTGTACCTAAGGGAATCTACATTTTTTAATCCGGGCCTGTGTAAAATTATTTTCTTTTGTGGGTGTGTGTGTGCGTGTATGTTTGTGGAGTGTTATTTTAAACATGATAGGGTTCGGGTCTGTCCCCTAACTCACGTCTACATCGTGTTTCAGTCTGACTGTATGTGGAAGTGCTGTTATTCCCCTTGTATTGCACCAGTTTTCAGATATTAGCTGCAGGTCTGTGTCACGAATATTCCCCCGCCTCACGTCTAGACGAGTTTTCTCCAAGATGTGCGGTGAACTGAAAACGCAGACTTCATGTGTCTGTATTCAAGGTCATGCTGACTGATATCTGTTTTCTTCAGCATCACTACATCGATGAGCTAATCCACAATACACTCTCGAGATGAGCATACATGAAATAGACCATGCTACACCAGGGCTCCTCAGGTGATTTTGGAGTATGAAATGTACACGATGCTTAAGTTTGGTTGAGTTGATGGTTTGGGTGTTTCTGATTGATCGTCTGGTGACCGTTCGTTGATGGTGGTTTCAGAGCGTTTGGAAAGCGGCAAGTGTTGTGCTGCAAGTGTTTTGCTGCCATCTAGAGTCAATCTGAAGTAATTCTGATATATTTAATTGAATGTGTGATGCACTGTTGAGTGTAATGAAGAATTGTGTTATTTTTATAACATAGTTGGTTTTTTCGCGCACTATCCCTGCTGAAAAAAACTGCTTAAACCAGCCTAAGCTGGACATAGCTGGTTTTGGCTGGTCATCTTCCAGCCTGACCAGCGAAGACCAGGCTGGAAACCAGCCTGGAAGTGGCCAAAACCCCTCTAAAACCCGCCTGGTTGACCAACTAAAACCATCCAACCAGCCTAGGCTGGTTTGAACTGGATTTTTCAGTAGGGTAATATTTCTCTTCTATTATGTTGGGTTTTTGTAATTGATTAAAATGATTTATTAATATCCAATTTTTCAGATATTGAGTGCTCATAAATTAATAATACAAACTATAAATAATTGATAATGATGTTTCTCAGTAATATATTTTTTTTTACTCTGGAGAAATTCGTATTGCTTTTAGTTTGGCTTTTTTATGAATATAATTATCCAATATTATCAATGACTTGCCTAATTAACATTACTTACATAGTTAACCTAATTAATATAAGGCTTAATGCCTTTAAATGTCACTTTAAGCTGACCATTATTATCTTGCAAAATGAGTAATAAAATATTATGTGCTGTCATCATGGCAAAGAAATTAGTTATTAGAAGTATTGTTTATAAATGTGCTAAAAATATGATTAACCAAATTGGCCGTAGTGTATGAGTGTGAATGTGAGTGTATGGGTGTTTCCCGGAAAGCCATCCGCTGTGTAAAAACATATGTTGGATAAGTTGGGGGTTCATTCCGCTGTGGTATCCACTGATGAATAAAGGGACTAAGCCGAAGGAAAATTAATGAATGAATGTAAAATTTAAATAATAAATAGATAAAAAAGAAAACATATTTCATATTTCCTGTTTATTGTTATTTTTGATATATTTAATATATTTGTTATTCATTCAGTATATATTTTAATTATCCAGTATACTTCAGGATCGGTTGATTTTCAAAATATTTTTTAATCAAATAAAACGGCAAACCACTAGCTATATTAATGAATCATTGATTTAAAATCCTTTTAACTACTCGTTTTATGTACACTCAACAGTCACTTTATCAGGTACACCTGTTAAACTGCTCGGTAACACAGTTTTAATCAGCCAATTACATTGCAGAAGCTCAACATATTTAAGCATGTAGACATGGTCAAGACGATCTGCTGCAGTTCAAACCGAGCATCAAATCAGGGAAGAAAGGGGATTTTAAGTAACTTTTTATTGTGGCGTGGTTGTTGGTGCCAGGCGGGCTGATCTGAGTATTTCAGAAGCTGCTGATCTACTGGAATTTTCATGCACAGCCATCTCTAGGGTTTACAGAGAAAAGAGAAAATATCCAGTGAGCAGCAGTTCTGTGAGCGCAAAAGCCTTGTTGATGCCAGATGTCATAGGAAAATGCCCAGACTGCTTCCAGCTAATAGAAAGGCAACAGTAACTCGTTACAACCGAGGTCTACAGAAGAGCATCTCTGAACACATAACACGTCCAACCTTGAGGAGGATGGGCTACAGAAGCAAAGACCACATTGGGTGCCACTCCTGTCAGCTAAGAACAGGAAACTGAGGCTAAACTTCACACAGGCTCACCAAAACTGGACAATAGAAGTTTGTAAAAATGTTGCCTGGTCTGATGAGTCTTGATTTCTGCTGCCACATTCAGATGGTAGGGTCAGATTTTGGCATCAACAACATGAAAGCATGGATCAAACCTGTCTTGTATCAACGGTTCAGGCTGCTGGTGGTGGTGGTGTAAGGGTGTGGGGGATATTTTCTTGCCACACTTTGGGCCCATTAGTACTAATTGAGCATCATGTCAACGCCACAGCCTACCTGAGTATTGTTGCTGACCATGTTCATCTCTTTATGACCACAGTGTATCTATCTTCTTATGGCTACTTCCAGCAGGATAACACACTATCTCATAAAGCTTAAATCATCTCAGACTGGTTTCTTGAACGTGGCAATAAGTTCAATGTATTCAAATGACCTCCACAATCAACAAATCTCAATCCAAAATTGCAGCTTTGGGATATGGTGGAACGGCAGATTCGTATTATGGAAATGCAGCGGACAAATCTGCAGCAACTGCGTGATGCTATCATGTCAATATGGAGTCAAATCTCTGAGGAATGTTTCCTGTACATTGTTGAATCTATGTCATGAAGGATTAAGGCAGTTCTAGAGGCAAAAGTTTGTCCAACCCGATACTAGTAAGGTGTACCTTATAAAGTGGCTGGTGAGTGTACATTTTGTCTTTTTAATGAGCTCAGTCATTCACTTATCATATAATATTTTTTTCAGTATTATATAATATATTTAATACATTAAAATATATTCCCACAGAAATGCCCTGGCAAACCCCTGAGACACAGCATGGCAGCAAGTTTTCATTATCAAACTCCACTCATGCTTTGTTCTGAAAAGGCAAAGAGATGAGTTCTGCCAGTGTCACCTGCTTCAACAGTTGTAGTGAGCAAAACAAACACTTTCCAGCTATTCACACTCTTGTTTTTCTACATTTGTCCAGGTTTTTCTGTCCTCCCCCGTGTGTATATCTGATGGGCTGTGGATGGAAGAAGAAGCGGGAGCAGATGGAGCGAGACGGCTGTTCAGAGCAGGAGTCTCAGCCCTGCGCATTCATCGGCATCGGGAACAGCGAGCAGGAGATGCAGCAGCTCAACCTAGAGGGGAAGGTAACACATGCTGACTAAATCAAACGCCACAAGCTACTCGGCCAAAGCAGCACTATTAGCATACTGTAATGTTTTGTTTCTTCTCATGAATACGCAAATCTCGTCCCTGCAGAACTATTGCACAGCCAAAACATTGTACATCTCAGACTCAGACAAACGCAAGCACTTCATGCTGTCAGTGAAGATGTTTTACGGGAACAGCGCAGACATCGGCGTCTTCCTCAGCAAGAGGATCAAGGTCATCTCCAAACCTTCCAAAAAAAAACAGTCCCTCAAAAATGCAGACCGTGAGTGCATTCACCATACACAAAACTCTAGAGGAAGCACTTTTTAGTCCTTTGAGATCATTTGACTGGTGTAGAGTTTTAGTATTCAATGAAAACTATGTATTTAATATTTAATACACGCACACAAACACAAACAGTTATTTTTAAATATATTAAAATGTGTAAAAGTGTGTCGTTATGTCAATATTTTACATAAATAAATATATAGTGTTTTACATATTTATCTATCATCAGTACATTTTGTGCGTAATGTTTCTGTCAGGATCTGCTTAATTTAAAAAAAATAAATTTATATAAAAACAATAATTAAATATTAATCTATCAATCAAATCATGTTTCTTATTCATTCATTATATTTCCTCAGTAATAACCCTTTCAGGATCTGTTGAGATCATTTGACTGGTCTAGAGTTTTAGCAATCAAGTAATTTCATTAATAATTCCAAATTAATAATTTCATCTTAAATATTTAACAATAATTATAAACGAATAATAATCACGTATTTAAATTATTTTTATTTTTATTTATTAGTGGTTTAATGAATGACGGTTCATCCGTGATTCGTACAGATCACATCCCATGGTTCAGAACACATGCAATCCCCGGATTAGTACTTTTTTTTTTTTTACTCATAGATTAATCCTAAATTTGCAACGATTGCAGAGAGATCACCACTTGTGTCATTCAAATCACATGTATGAAAGCATTCAGGCTTTCCTGTAAAATAAAATGATGACAGAAGAAGTTGTGGTGGGTTAAAGGGAATGTGGTGGGTTTCTCAGGTTATTAAAGATGTTTTCTGTCACTACTTGTTTAGCCTGCATTAATGCATTCAGTGTAAGCTGCACCATTAAACATTAAAAGATCAGGATCTCAACACCCACACAACATCAATCATAAAAGATGGTGATTTGCATATGTTTATTAATCCTTTAAATCACTGCACACAAAAACAAAAAACGAGATTCAGTCTTTAGTCTTTTATTAGTTATTTTAGTTATGTATTTTTTTATTTATTTTTTTGTTATGAAGTTACAAACAGTGAAATAACACAGAAGTACTGAGATAACAGTTTATAGTTTAGATAAAACCACGGATGTTTATGGTAAAGATTAAAATCACCCTCATATGCATTTAAAAATGAAAGTTGTAGGCAGCCATTACATTATTTAACCAAAAGGTGGCGACAACCAGCCATTAAAAATATGCCCCTGAGTAATTCTTCAGAAATGATCATCTAGCAATGAAACATGAAGTTTTACGAGTGAATATCATTTAATAAAAATGAAACTAAAATAATAAATGTGGGTTGTACAATTGATAATGTTAGATTTCTACATTTTAGCGTTATCAACAACAGTAGTGGTAACAGTGAATTATTCACAGTACTGAATATTTTACTCTTTATTTTTATTCATCTGATAATTTTTTTCATTTTATTTTTAATAAAGTTACAGGTTGCAAGTTCTTTTTGTTGAAACCAAAAGTGTCTCGCAGGGCTGTTTTTGTAATAAATAGAAAGCAAATGGCATTTGTCTCCACCCCATTCTGCCTGATCCGAAAAATAGTCTGTGACTAAAAAACCATAATGTGATCCGAACCGGGAGATTTGTGATCTGTTACATCACTAGTATTTATTATGTATTATTATTTTAAAAGATCAAAATAATAAAGAAATGATTATGTCATTCATTTGTTTTATATGTTTGTATGTATATTGTCAGTATATTTTCTCATTATTTGTTTTTGCAGGATTTGTTACATTTTAATAAGTAATATTGAATTAATTACAAAAAATGTTTTAATCGTTCAAAACATTTTCTCAGTTATTTTTCTTTTATAATTTGTTGAATTCAAATAAAACATTTTAGGCTAAAAACATATTTTAAAAAAAATTCAAAAATAGCTGACTGTGAGTAAATTGAAAACATGCTCAATCTTTTGAGACCATTTGACTGAACTAGATTAGTTTACACTAGTTTGCAAATCGAAAAAAATGAATGGGATTTTAAAGCAGGATTTTTGATTACTTCTGAAGTCTCAGTGGTTTATTCTGACAGATTTGTGCCTCTTCCCCTTGTGCAGTCTGTATAGCATCAGGAACGAAAGTGGCGTTGTTTAACCGGCTTCGCTCACAGACGGTCAGCACACGTTACCTGCATGTCGAGGGAGGAAACTTTCACGCCAGCTCGCAGCAGTGGGGAGCCTTTTTCATCCACCTCTGTAAGTCTGACACACGTGCGCCAGTATAGAAACACTGAACTGTAAGATTACTGTAAGTGGTACTTACAAAACCGATGGCATTTTTTTAAGCAGGCAGGCATGTGACTGGATTATAACCTAATTAACAAATTAAATCCAATTTTTATTTATATAGCACATTTAAAACAAACAATGTTGACCACAAAGTCAGAAATATATAAATAAAATTAAAAATGTATTAAATATTAAACTCAATGTTATAGAGGCATTTTGGGATTACATGGAGAACTCAGAGAATCAAGCAATCAGTTAGTTATTAAAAGATGAACTTAGTGAAGAGCTGCAAGAAACATTTTGTACTTCAGAAGATTCTCCCTAAAAAAAGTTCAAGAGAGTAGGTTGATGAGAGGTTGTGTTACATACAGGGGTCCTTTTGTTTTTTAAATTGTGTTATTTTCTGTGCTTTTTGTTTGTATCTTAATGAAGAGACCAACAAATATGGATGGTCTTTTAAACTTGAAGGCTTAGTTTAATTCATTTTTTCATTTTCTTTTCACCTTTATAAATCAGGGGTCGCCATAGCAGATTGAACCACCAACTTATCTAGCATATGTTTTATGCAGCGGATGCCCTTCCAGCCACAACCCAATAGTGGGAAACACTCATACACTCTCACATTCACATACACACTACAGCCAGTTTAGTTTATTCAATTCCCCTATAGCGCATGTGATTGGATTTGTGGGGAAAACCAGAGCAACCGGCGGAACCCATGCCATTAAGGGGAGAACATGCAAACTCCACACAGAAATGCCAACTGACCCAGCCGGGGCTCGAAACCAGTCACCTTCTTGCTGTGAGGTGATTGTGCTACCCACTGCTCCACCATGACTATTTTATATAAAAATGAAATTTACTCCCTGATTTACTCACCTTCAAGTCAACCTAGATGTGTAAGTCTTTCTACTTTCAGCTTAAGATCATCCAATCAGAGTTATTTTTAGGAACAATCTTGACCTTTTCCAGCTCTACATATGGCAGGCATTTGGCAATTGTTTTTTTATCAGCAGTCTAAAGCTCGTCTAATAAATCCGTAAAATAACAAGTGCTTCACACATCTCAGAGTTACGGTCTGTTTTAATGAATTCATGCATTCTGGTAAGGAATGAAATCCATATTTAAAACTTTCTGAACTGTTTTGTGTAACATCCGCCAGTCACTCTCTATCATCATGTTCTCTTTATTTCGAGGTGCGTGTTTCAAAACTATCTGGATGCAGCCTGTATGATGCAAACTGAGGCCCCGTTTACACTAGTACGTTTTAGTTTTAAAACGGCGTTTTAGAATGAAAACGATCCGCGTCCACACTCGCGTTTTACCCAGTGTTTCTGAACTGCTCTCCGTCCACACCAAAACGCTGAAAACGCACATCACGTGACCACACAAACACACTTTGGCAAGCGCTGCAGCCTGTCTACCCAGATGAGAGCTCTGCTAGTCGGACTTCTCATCAAGCATCTCCCGCTGGATCTAATCTCACTATATTTATTAAACGGGATATTTCATTTATCTTGTTGTCTTTATCTAACGACATATTCCCTGACTTTGATCTTTGAATCTATTACTTGTTCTCAGGTAACGTGTTTTGGCTGAGCGCAAAGATAAGTTAATGAGTAACCTTAGCCTATTCTGTATATTGACTGATCGCTTGCCTTTATTTCCTATAATGTATAAACTTATTGTATGTTATACTTTTAAAATGGCCATTATCGATTCTTAAAACTGATACTCAGCAAAAGAGAGGGTGTGTTTCGTATTTTCACTGAAATTGAAAGGAGGCAGTTGTTATCGGCTCCGTTTTGTTATAAATATCCACACAGTGAAGATGACGCTCATCTTATGCAGCACGACGCCTCAACATTTCTGCTGTCTAAGTTGCTAATATTAAAATGAAAATAGGCAGTTCCTTAAATCATGTTTACATTTTATTGTTGAGAAAGTGAAACAACGAAGCCAGGGTGATGTGAATGAAGATATAAAGTACACTGTTCCCTTTGAAGATTTACCCGTGTCCTCGGTATAGTCTGCTTTTCCATATCAAACTGAGAAGAAGAGACTGCAGCCTTGATCAAACTTGCGAAGTCTGAACTTACACGGAGATAATGCAGGACTGAACTGTGTGTGTTAGGCTACTTAATATTCAGGAAAAGCCCCAATCAGAGAGGCGAATGTCTGCAGCCCCGCCTCCGTTTTCAGATGTCTCCGTTTTTCATCATCCACACTGAGACGGAGCAGCATCGTTTCAGAATGAAAACGGCCTCTCCAGCGTTTTCGAAACGCTCCGTTTTCGGCACTCGAGAACTCCGGCGTAGTGTGGACGGTTGGCGTAACCGTAGCAAAACTTATGCGTTTTCAAACTAAAACGCATTAGTGTAAACGGGGCCTGAGATTGCGTCACTCAGCGATGCAATGTCAGACACAAAGCACTCAATGGATTGACGTCACTGTGATGGGTAGGGTTATGGTTGGGTTTAGGTGAGCGCATTAAAAAGCATTTGATGCAACTCAGATTGCACTGCACCAGGTCTGCATCCAGACCCCTCACATCAGCTGGACAGGATGGTATTTTTCTATCTCTTGAAACAAAGGATTTGATTTTTGACAGAATAACACATGGAAATGCAGTGAAAAGAGATAGACCAAAGAGAGATAGACAAAAGCTAATGGTAGTCTTTTGCACCAGGGCTAAACAGGGCCCGTAGCCAGTCTATTGGAAAGGGGTGGTTCTTTTTTCCCCAAAAGTGGACATTTTTGCAGTTATTTGCTTAATTTTCTATTAAATTATGTGGATGAAATGCTGCGTTTTCATGACATCTTAAGCACCAATATTTGCCGGATCAGCTTGTCAGATGATGATCTTAACCTTACTTTTTGATGCAACAAAAATATTTCCTACATTTTTGTCAAAGTGCTAACCCTACTAGTTTACCACAAAGTGTTTTCTTTAGAAATGTGCATTTAAAATGTTAGTTATTACAGTTTTATGAATTATGTAATAAGATGTGAATTTTAAATAAAACATTTTGAACAAAGAAATATGAAAAATGCTTATTTTAAAAAATTCAAATGTGATATCCATGATATAACAAAAAGGAATCTGTTCAAACTTGTTTTAAATTAACAACTGCAGGCTATTGACCTTATTCTACAATGTGGATTTTTGCGATCATTTTAGAACCTCCGATTCCGCTATCTACTGTAAGGGAGAAATGACTAGGAATAATAAATAACTATATATCCATGACTATACAGACAAAATAGAATAATATAACAATAAAACATCAGTTTAGCAGCATATCAAGCTGTTTTTAACATCTAAAAATAATGGAAGTAAATGAGACTGGAAGTCAAATAACAAACTTTCCAGCTCATTTCCTCTGTTAGAATTTGTCCAGTTGAATAGTTAAAAATGTAATTTGTCCTCTTTTTTTCTATTGGTCATTTTCATAATTTATGATGTCATACTGTCAAGTGGGACAAATGAGCAGTCAATTTCTGGGCTTTGTCAATGGAACCACCCGAACTCCCCCTGGCTAGGGGCATGCTACATTTACTTGATTAAAAAGACATTAAAAGAATAATAATGTGAAACTACTACAATCTTAAACTGTTGAATGTTTTATTGTATTTTTAAATATTACTTATTCCTGCAATGGCAAAGATTAATTTTCCGATGCATTTTTATTGTTTTTATAATCACATCATAAAAATTAATGATGACACAGAAATTAAGTAACATTTCTTTTTATTAATAATTTTTATACACTTTTTTTTTTTTTTTTGCTTTTTTCTGTCTTGTATCATCAGATTAATGTATCCTTGCTTTAAAAAACTTCACATCAACTCCAAAGTTACAGTATGAGCAGTTGCAGAGTACAAAGTATTTGGCATCTTAAACTACTTGAATACTTTTTTAGAAATCTGACATCTAAACAGCACCTAACCACAGTTGACTTGGTTTATGTAATGTTTAGGCGGAGGTCTAGCTGCGGTCTTTCATATCCCTGAGAGCAAAGTTGACTATACAGGTGTGCTCAAGGAAATCATGTTTACTTGCCACTACACAATGTCTCAAATATCTGAGTCATAAACAGTTGCAATATGTTCTTTAAAAGCAGCAGTCATTGCAGCTTTTGTATTTTATTTAGTTTTTTTTCCATTTTGAATAGCATAACTCACATCTGACATATCTGAGCTTTAGATCTGAGTTTTGATCAGATTGCAAAAGAAAGTGGGAGCAAACATCTAACAATTGGAGCAATGGAACAGAAACAAAAACAGGCAGTTTACAATTAAGAAGATTGGTTCTAGGATGATGACCACTGGACATGACCAAATTGGAGGACATTATTTTTGCTTTACATGGATGGCTGGTTTCCCAGTGATGGGTTGCAGCTGGAAGGGCATCCGCTGTGTAAAACATGTGCTGGATAAGTTGGTGATTCATTTTGCTGTGGTGACCCCAGATTAATAAAGCCGAAAAGAAAATGAATTAATGTATGGTTGGTATTATGATGTGCGTCAAATCAAAAAATAGTTTCACTTAACTTTTTTCCTGCCTGGATGATCGAAAACGCAAAAAAGCTTCCCTGCCATTGACAAGATATGTGAAAATCGATGTGTTGTATGTTTATTACGGCCCTGAGTGATGAGTGATGTACGTGGTGTCAGATGCACATGGGAGTGAAATCTGAGAAAGAGAAAGTAAGATCGTAGGTTAAAATAGAATATTTTCAGGAATGTAAACAATAACAGTGGTGCTAATGTATTTCTTGTTTAAATTTTTTTTAATTTCTATAGCTTCTGAAAATACAAAAAGCCACATATTAATAAATAATGTTATGATAGCTGCTTTAACATTAAGGTATGATTGAATTACCTCTTGTTGCAGTTATGAAATAGATTCATAACAGGCAGAAAATGTTCATGGGCCAATGACCACATTGAAATGGTCTAAACAACTTTACTGTTTTAGATCAGGGGCCTGTTTCAGTAAGGAGGTTCAAACAACTCAGAGTTTAAACTTGAACTCTGAGTTGATTTACCGAGAGATTAAAAACTCAGAGTTTTCGGTTTCAGAACAGCTGATCTGAGTTGGGTCAATCAACTTCGAGTAGACCAACTCAGAGTTAAGCGCGCACACCGTGACTTTAAAAAGGCATTATCAATGGAGCGCAGACATTACGAGTGACTATGGCAATATCTTATAAAAGAGATCACCATTTCTTTCTCCAGCTGAACTTGATGTTCTCATGCAAAGTTATAGCAAATATGAGTGTATATATTTGAAAAGAAGCAGCCATCAGTGAAGAAGAGACAGTTAGCGTGGGAAAACAGCTGCTCAAGTTAGTGCCTAATTTCACTTTTTAAGTGTTTAAATATTTAAGTATAATAAAATAAGTAATGTAATTTGTGACGTTTATATTTTTTTTCTAAACTTTTTTATACATTTATTAGTTTTAAATGATTTAACAGTGCACTTGTGTCTGCCTTTTTTATTGATCAAGTAATAGAGGTTAATATAACATTTAGAAGGTAAGCAGTACTAAAAATATTTTTTAGAATAATCCCATTAATCTAGTTACAGTGCATGTCGAAGGTGAATTTAATTTAATTATTTATTAAAAAAGGATAAGCCATTCTAGTACAGTTCTTCTGTGTGTGACTAAAATGTAGGCAATAGCTATGTTTCCATCCAAATATATTACATAAATTTATGTGCAAAACAGGAATATTGCATAAAAGATGTGAATAAAATTCCATCCAACGAGTCAAAGAGAAAAAAATCTTCACTTCCTGATTAAACTGGCACCAAATATCAACAGTAAAAACAGAATTTACTGTGGTAGAAGAAGCTGCGTCAATTAATTCTTTATTTAGCCTAATTAATGTACTTGCGCCTCGATGTCAGAAGACAATGCTGAAACACAATGAACACGTGGGGGCGTCTGAAGCCATGAGACGCGGAGACTCACGCACCAGACGTTCGGAGGTAATTAATATACACTAATACTGAAACAGTTAAGGCATTTTAGAATGACTAAAACAATATTTAAGACGTGTTACAGTGTGCTCAGCTTGCTGGTTTGTCCATTTACAAACATTTTCATTATCATATGATCATGATCTTTTTTTTTAATGTACATACTGTAATTTGTTTAGTAAAAGTGTTTCCATCGTAGTTTATGCGCACATTTTCTATCGAATAAAAGTTTATCCTACTCAGTTATGCGCGTTTTTTATGCATATTTTAAAAAGTTATGTGCATCATGACGTTTCTATCAATCGTTTTTATGCACGTATCCAAAATGAGCATTAAAATAGGTGTGTGGAAATGTAAGGCTAAGGCGAGAAATGCCGCTTCATCTTTAAAAAAGGGGAGGAGACCGACAGAAACTCTGAGTTTAGAGAATAAAACCTGCTTCTGACCAGGTTAGATTCACAGAGTAAGTTACCACAGTAACTGACTCTGAGTTAAAGTTACCTTTCTTTCAGAAACAGACTTGACTTACCCTGCTTTCTCGAGTTTAACAAACATGCCATTTTGAAACGGAAAACCCAGAGTTTCTCTCATTTCAGGGTTAAAATACTCTGAGTTTTCAGTTAACCTCCTTTCTGAAACAGGCCCCTTGTCTTGACAAGAGACCAAAATAAATAAGCTTTATTTTTATGATTTTTGTCATGAAGATTGCATATCTGTATATAATTTTTCGCAAATTTCTGAGAATTACCAACACAATATTTGTCATTTTTATCACAAAAATTACAAATACAAATCGTGAAAAACTAGGGGGTCTGAATAATAGTGTTTTGACAAACATTATGGAGGGTCTGATCACACAGGATATGCTTAGTCTTTTTAATTGTGTTGTAGTGGATGATGAAGAGTCGGAGGGAGAGGAGTTCACTGTTCGAGACGGATACATTCACTATGGACAAACTGTCAAACTGGTGTGCTCCGTGACTGGCATGGCTCTTCCTAGACTGGTAAGGCCTCGTCAATGTGTGTGTCTTCACTTAACTGATGATTTTCCTCCCGAACTATTATCGCTTATCTCTGTTATCATCTTATTTGTTAATATAAATGACAGCATGTTCACAGTTGAAGACAAAATTATTTCATTCTTTTTTTTTTCCAAATATTTCCATGTTTAACAGAGCAAGTTTTTTTTCCACAGTATTTACTATTACGTTTTTTGTTCTGGAAAACTTTTTTTTTAGCCAAACTTAAAAAGTAACAATGTTAAAATGACTAAGGTCAAAATGAATAGCAATTATAAGATCTGTTTTCTTTAATTGGCTCCAGAACAAACCACTGTTGTCCAATCACTTGCCTAATTAACCAAAATTTAATACTAATATCATGCAAAAAAACTAGTAAAATATTAATTTAATCATGTAATTAATTTCAATATGTAATCATGGCAAAGACAAGATTTATTTGAAGTTATTAGAAATTAGTTATTGAAACTGTTATGTTTAAAAATAATAATTAAACAACACTTGGGAAAAAAAACATTGAAAATTTTGAAGAATTTTACATTTTTAAATTTCATTTTGTTTTCAACTGTACATAATTGATGATGATGGTGAAGCCCTTTTTTTGTCACATACACCTTTACATGTAGCGAAATTACAAAATTACAAACCACAGGAGGGCAAATTCTTCAACGGGATAGCGTTCCTTCTCTTACTTTAGCCTCCATATCAAAGTTCCTAAAAGCAAAGAAGGTCAAGCTGCTCCAGGATTGCCCAGCCCAGTCACCAGATATGAACATTATTGACCATGTCTGTGGTAAAATAAAGGAAGAGGCATTGAAGATGATTCCAAAGAATCTTGATGAACTCAGGGAGTCCTGCAAATTGGACCCCCTCTACATACACAAACATCACAGATACCAGATGAAGACAGGTCAGATGTGAGATAGATTTAGAAAGAGGAAATAAGATACATTTGGGAAAAGGGAGACGAAAAAAAATCCCTTCTCAGTATACTATCAGGTCATTTACTTGTAAAAGTCAGCTTGTACATTGTCATCTTAACTGTTGCCTGTTGGCTACAGGCTCTAATCAACCCTATTTCTTTTCCTCATTACACAAACACACACACACACACACACACACAGATCATCCGTAAGGTGGATAAGCAGACGGCCTTGCTGGATGCAGATGACCCCGTCTCGCAGCTGCATAAGTGTGCCTTTTACCTGAAGGATACGGAAAGGATGTACCTGTGCCTTTCTCAAGAGAGGATCATCCAATTTCAAGTGAGTCGCTTATTGGAAATTCAAAGTAAATCATATCTTACTGGCGGTTTACTGTGATAAATGTGTTTTTAGGTTGTCTGTGGGGTCTATTCCAGGGGACAAATGTTGCCTCTTTATGGAAAGTTCATTTTTTCATTCTAGACAGGGAGATGTAAAACAGAAATTAGATTCAAATATAACTTTGGTCATTTGTACTCCATTTATTTATTTATTTATTAATTATTTATTTGTTTGTTTATTTATTTTATTTCTATCGCAAAATAGACCATCTTAGGCAGATTAAACAAGACTCCTGATTGTTGGGGGGTTTATTTTGTGATAATGACCATTAGATTATATGTCATGCCTAGCATTTGTCTTTGTGAACTGCTGTTTTTGACTTGACTGTGTCTCTGTGTGTTTTGTTTGTGTGAAGGCTACTCCATGCCCAAAGGAACCAAATAAAGAGATGATAAATGATGGTGCCTCCTGGACAATCATCAGCACTGATAAAGCAGAATACACCTTCTATGAGGGCATGGGCCCCGTACACACACCTGTCACACCTGTGCCTGTGGTCGAGAGCTTACAGGTAACACATACACTCTGATTTTTACAGTTAGACACATTTTTTTAGTCAACAAATGTTAATTCTGGAACATAATTCAGGTTCAAACATTAAGAGATAGTTCACCCGTACAAGTTTTGTCATCATTTACTCACCCTTGACTTGATCCAAACCATTTTTTATTCTGTTCCACACTAAAGAAGGTATTCTGAAGAATGTTGGAAACCTGTAACCATTTACTTCCATAGTAGGAAAAACACTATGGAAGACAATGGGTTACCGGTTTTCAGTCCTAGTTCCTACCTCTACTCATTAATTATTCCTAAAACTGAGCTGTAGAGCTGTAAACTCACATCTGATTGGTTGATTGAAATGTTGTTCCAGACTCAAGAAGGATGTTGATCCGGGAACATTTTGTACTTAAGACACTTTTTTTTTTCTTCTTTACACGTCTCTGCCTGTTGTGTGTACATTATGTGTGTGTGTTTGTTTGAGCAGTTGAATGGTGGTGGAGATGTAGCCATGCTGGAGCTCACAGGACAGAACTTCTCTCCAACTCTGCGGGTGTGGTTTGGTGATGTAGAGGCAGAGACCATGTACAGGTATAGATTTGAGAAGATATACATATATGTATTGTTACGTCCTATAAAGCTCTCTGGACTCATTTAGCAACATAAGAGATAGATAAAGGATAAAGGATGAGCATATGAATGAGTTTTGAATCAAGTTTAAAACTCCTATCTTTATTTCAGATACTGATTGATAAACACAAACAAAATATAAGTCAATATAGGCCAATCTATGTAAAATAATAATATTTTACCTAACTTTTACTGTCACATCAAAATAAAACGGAATTGCTTTACTGAAATGTAAAAATGTATGGAAACAAATTTATTTTAGCATGCTTTCAAGGAGTACTCTTGAAAGATAGAGTATGCTTCAAATATTTAGTGAGACATGAATGTGTTTTTAGGCACTCAACTGCATTTAAATGAAATGTGTAGTTTACACTTATATTACAAGCAATTACAGGGTGTCTGCAGGGCCTTAAAAAGTCTTAAAATGTCTTGAATTTCAAAATCAAAATTTTATGCCATGAGAACTCTTATATTCGCTGAAATAGTGTGTTGTAGGTCTTAAATCATTTTAAACAGGTCTTAATATTTCTCTGTCCAAGTAAAGATACCCAGTCAGGGCGACAGCCATCGGTCAACAGTCCATCTCAGTAAAACTTTTTCAAAGAGATATAATTCACAACAGATGTTAGATAGCAAATTGTGTCCACTGTCATATTGGAGTGATATAAACACAATAGGTCTCTTTTTTTAAATATCCTGAAGTTAAATTAGGACCCAAATCACTGTGATTTTGAGGCCCAACGCAACCTGATGTCCCAGCCCACTGAATTAATTGACAGATGTCACGTTTCTATAATAACAAATACAAACACATCCACACAACATTTATTTGCATTTTAATTTATTAAACAGCATTTGTGTGAGACTCATCATTTCAGAAAGGCTTGAATAAACTCCACTTCAAATACATCAAATAAACTTACTTGGTATTTTTGACTACTGAGCTGTATTTCAGCTTCATCTGTGTCTGTCTCTATCACTGACTGCTGTTTATGTGATGTAACGCATGATGGGAAGCAGATGCACATGTGGCAATGGTGGGTGGGGAAAAGCAGCTCATTTGCATTTAAAGCCACAGGCTACAAAAACAGCTACACTGTAGTCAAGTCACCAAAATGGGCAGATTCTGGAGGCTATTATAAATAATCTGATGGGTATTTTGATTTGAATATTTACAGACATCATCTGGATACACCAAAGGCTTATCTGACTTACATCTTATTTAGGGTTAAAATAGGTGCCCTTTTAGTGCAACAGTAATTGACGTTAATATCTGACAGCCTGTAATAAAGACCTCGTAGGTTTTGTTTAATCCGTATGAAAGTCTTATTTGGTCGTTAAAGGAAAATGTGCACTTTTATTAATGCTGTCAGTTCAACATACTGCTTGCAGTGAAGGACTGAATTATTAATAATAATCTTTATATTTTTTCTGAAGGTGTGGAGAGAGCATGCTGTGCGTCGTCCCAGACATCTCCGCGTTTCGGGAGGGCTGGCGGTGGGTTCGACAGCCAGTGCAGGTGCCTGTGACGCTGGTCCGAAATGATGGTATCATCTATTCCACGACACTCACGTTCACATACACCCCTGAACCTGGCCCACGACCACACTGCAGCGCCGCTGGCGCCATCCTACGAACGGGCAGTGCCAGTTTACTCTCAATAAGCGGGAACAGCACAGGAGGGAATGGAGAAACAGCTCCATATGGCACCAATAATGCCGTCACGGCATCATCCTCTAATGCAGCCGCCGCTGTGGTGTTATAACACACAAACTCACCGTATGTGAAACTAAGACTAGAAACGTTGTAAAAGTGCTGCATATTGAATTTCAAAGATAAATCCCTTAAAAGTGGAGACGGAAATCAAGGAATTGATCAGTGAAAAGGCTAAACCTGTGGAGAGGACTAAATATTTGAAATGGATCTTCAGCGCCCTCTTGTGGTTTGGTGCTAGTAATAGCCGGTTTGGTGCTAGCATTAGACAATGCCTGAGAGAAACACCAGCACCTTTAAACAGGTGTTGAAGACCGGAAGACAAGATTCATCAGCCGTGCGCAAAATGCATTGACTGAAAATGGTTTTCTTTCAGTCTGTGTATAAAAGCCTGAGAGGTCAAAACTCTTCGGAAAAGGGTCCCGTTGAAATTGTGAGATAACCCTTTTTAATGGACCAAGGATATTGTATAAGCTTTAGTAAAGGTACATTTTTCCCCCCTCCATACCTTTTTATATCAAATGTTATAATTGTACGCTTTTGTTACCAAATAGGTTGTGCCCCACCTCTGAGCTTGGTTTTGTTGGTTTTCTGTATATAGATACTTTCATATACACCCGTTCGCTTGGACACCTTCGGTTTTGATACTTTGTATTTTGTAATACCTTTTCGTTTTTCATTCATTTGGAAGAAACTCAGAGGGCCTGTTTTTTATCATTGGTTTTTATGAACTCTTTTAAAAGAAAAAAAAAAGCTTTAAGCAATGCCTCTGCCTTGCCTGCATTACGATATGCGCTACGCTTCCTTTAAGCATTTCATCACTGACATGTCTAGATCTCACGAAAGGAACGACGCCATCTTTCTGTGTCTTATTCGGGAAACTAGAAAACACACAATATACTGCATATAGAAGCTTTGGATGCAACGTGTCTCTTCAATACGGTAGCCGTAGAGTAGTTTTGTTCTAGAGCACATGTAGGATATCCCACATATCAATATCAGAGAGTTTACTGTAGTTTGTGACGTTCAAGTTCTGACCGACTCCTAAAGTTTCAGTGCCGTTTTATAACGTTGAACATCCAGTGTTTTGTCTTCCTAAACATTTTTTTAAATTCGGTCCTAAGGGGACGATTTGGAGACGTGTCTACCATTAGATGTGGCCTTACTGGAACAAAGGTTCCCTGTTTAGTTCACCACCTTCAAAAGGAGGTTTACAAACATGACCCGAGGAACCAAGCCTTGCATTTTGAACATTTTACATGCGATTTTTGTGATATTTAAACTTTCTAAATTTTCATTTTGTTGTTCGGATTTAGAAGATTTAAATGTGTTATAGATACAAACATGCCCAAAGATATTATATTGCATTATTGTCTCTTTTTATTTTTGAAAAGTATGTCTGGATTTGTGGCCTACCGCACACCAAAAGTAGGAAGCTTTACTCCGTTGGTCATTGATGTGTTTATCGTGGCCTTGGTGTCTCAACTAGTAGACTAGTATTAATGACAAAAAAAAAAACTAGCTCTAATCAACTCATCAACCAGCACTAATAGTGTTTTGTGATTTTCTTTTTTATGTACAGTAATTTAACTTTTGAATATTATGCGTCCATTTGTAGAAAAAAAAAACTAAAGATAAAAAAACAACAACAAAACATTCAGCAATTCATTATTTTTCCTTGTGTGTCTATGGCTCTTTACCCAGTTTTGTCCTAGGTGTTTCTCATCCAAACCGGTGGGTGTTTAGTGTCCGAGTTTGTCCTTGTATGTTAATGTCTGGCTAGTAAATGGACATTATGGGACTAGAAACATGAAAGTTAATGGCCTTTTAAATATGTGTGTGTGTGTGTGTGTGTGTGTGTGTGTCTCAAAGCATACAGCAATACTGTATAGGTCACTTTGTGTGTCTTTGTCTGTGGAAATAGCCACTGATTTTTTCACCAGCCTGATCCACATAACGTACTGTATGTGGTCATGAAGAACAGCTGGCTCAACTAGAGTCATATCCACTTTCTTTTTACTCTTCTCCTTCATACTAATTTAATCAGACACCTTTTATTGGTAGATCTGTAGATTTACGTGGATCCTGCACCGTCTTCCTTGTAGTGTAGTATACAAGTAGGCGACCCATCAAATAAGGCAATACTCCAGCATTGTAGGCCTATAATGTAGTCGTTTTCGGGAAAAACTGTAACTTGAATGTTTCTGCAAAAAGAAAAAAACAAACAAACAAACAAAAAAAAAACTTCACTTGTTGCCTCCACTAGATTTTTCGCTCCATCCTTATGAAATATGTTTATTCTGTCCTCTTTGCAAAAATCTTCCATGAGGTAGTATAAGCTCTTGCACTTAGTTTCCCAGAATTCTTGCATTTAAGTCTTCTTCAGTTTTATCTTCAATTCAGAATCATCCGAGCGCAAACATCCATTATGGGGAAGATGGCACTAGACAAACCTGTATTTTTCACTTCTCATTGGTTTTAAACTTTTACTATGCCCACAAAAAATAAACATTTCTCTCTTTTTAAGAAATGCAGTGTGATTTTACCATATTTAAATACGTTCAGGCGAACTCCGGGTCTGGTGGGAGCACTTTTAACTTAGCTTAGCATAAATCATTGAATCGGATTAGACCATTAGCATCTTACTCAAACATTTCAAAAAAGATTTTTGTAAATTTTTCTTGCAGACTCCTTTAGACTTCTTAAAGATGACTGTTTGACTGCAGAACAACCAACATGTTCTCAATAAATAATTCAGCTTGAAAGAGTCTCCTGGTTTCGAACGAAACTTAAGATTCTTCTCATAGGTAAAAAAAAAAAAAAAAGATACACTGCAACTTTCTGAGATTAAATCAAGTAAAAATAAATTCTTTTTTTTCATAAAGGAACTTTTCTCTCTTTTTATAGAAATACAGTGTCATTTTACTATATTTGCCTATTTTAATCCATTCAGCCAATCTCCGGGTCTGGCAGGAGCACTTTTAGCTTAGCTTAGCTTTGCATAAATCATTAAATCGGATTAAACCATTAGCATTTTACTCAAAAAAAGTAGACTTCTGTAGACTTTTTAAAGATGACTGTTTGACTGCAGAACAACCAACATGTTCTCAATAAATAATTCTGCTTGAAAGAATCTCCTGGTTTGAGAGGAAACTTCTTTATTAAATCAAGCAAAAATATATATCTATTTTTTAGAGTAAAGATTTATTCTGATGAGTTGTTTCTTCCCTATGGAGACATTTTTTTATTGTGTCCAGTACATGATGTAACTGCAGTAAAGTGAAGCTTTAAACAGGAAACTAAGCAAAATTTATTTAACATTTTTAAGTGAGATGCTAATGGTCTAATCCGATTCAATGATTTATGCTAAGCTAAGCTAAAAGTGCTCCTGCCAAACTCAGAAATCGGCTTAAAGTGGCACATCACCATGAACTCATCCATAACTACTCATGAACTCCTGTGATTAAACTGTTGATGTGGGCAGAACACTTTTCTATTGTTATTCAGTGTAAAGTAGTTCATGAGTAGTTAAGAATGGGTTAATGATGATGTCCCCCTCTAAGTAAAGTCATGATGTAATCATGTGTTAACAGCTCATGAGTTCAAGATGGTTAAATTAAGCATAAACGAATGCGGTAATTATTAGATTAACAAACAATGTACTAACAAGTAATTAAGGTAGCCGGTATTCACACATGAAATCATGTGACTCATGTTGTAGTTAAAGTTAGTTCATGATTCGATTCAATGAGTTATGCTAAGCTAAAAGTGCTCCCGTCAAACACAGAGATCGATTTAAGAGATTAAAATATGGTAAAATTCAGCTGTTGAACTCTGAGAGGCTTGTAAAATGAGCCTGTTTCCCTTAAAAAAAATGGAGTGTTTCTTTAAGAAGTCAACTTATTTTGTTTTTATTCTTTGTTTTTCAAGGAATTATGAATGCTAGCATTCAAATGACATTGAGTCATATCTTTCCATCCTTTTTTTTCTATTATTATTATCATCATGCTTCCCTTCATATTCCAAAAAAAGAAGAAAAAATAAATGAAATAATAAGTGCTTTAAGCCAGTCGGCCTTGAAATGAAACAGCATCATTGAAACAGTTCCTAGACAAACGAAATAATCCAGATCGTAAATCAAGTTTGACGTTAGCGATGTTGTTGTTAGCATAGCTCAAATATATATCATCATTTAAAGTGAGAACATTTCTGAACTGCTCCGTCACTCTGATTGCTGCCTCTGTTGAACTTTTTGTTTACATTTTCTTTTGTTTCTCAGCTCTACCCTTCATTTACTATGGTGTTATTGTGGTAAAGTGCATTATGTTGCTGTCTGAACAAACCGATTGACAATCTTGCTGTTTTTTACTGTTTACATTGTTTTGAAGGTGTTGAGCTTTAGAATGAAGGATTTGTTTAGACCCATTTCAAAAATAGAGGACACATTCTAACATAAATTGGCATTTATATCATTTTCCGGTCAGCTGAGCAGCTCGACTTGAAACTTTTTTCATTTCATTTCTGAGGCATGTATGTAGAGAGCCTTAAATATTCACTTAATAAGCAAATCTAGTCAGCTTTCTCTCTATAGTCATTCATCTGGTGTCATTTATGTCTAGTTTTATATTTCACTCCTGTAACTTTGCTCTTCCAAAAATTACCTTTGTTTATTTTGTGCTTAATGATTTCAATGTATAGATGATATGCCAAATGTCTTATACTTACATTCTCATGCACTGCTTATTAAACATGGCTCAAGAGGCAGCTTTTCAAAGATATCTCGATAGTTAGAGGAGAAAAAATATTGTACTGTAGACAAAGTGGTAATCTTTAGCTTTTCTAGTTCCTGCTTTCACAGCTTGGATTGGTTACAATGTTGTCTTGCATTGCCCTTTGGATTATCAAAAGGATTAAAGGGATAGTTCACCCAAAATGAAAATGAGCTAATTATTAATTTTTCCTTCAGCTCAGTTCCTTATTTATCAGGGGTCACCACAGCGGAAGGAACCGACAACTATTCCAGCAAATGTTTTACACTGCGGATGCCCTTCCAGCCGCACTCATTACTGGGAAATATTTTCACTCATGAAGTTTTTAATCTTTACAAGTGTCTATTGAACACAAAAGAAGATATTTTAAAGTATGTTCATTGCTGGCACTGATTGACTTGCTTAGTAGGAAAAATACAATGGAAGTCAATTAGTGCTGCAAAAAAGTGTTTTTGTCTTGTTTCTAGTTCATATATATATATATATATATATATATATATATATATATATATATATATATATATATACACACACACACACACACACACACACACATACACATTCACACACACAGTTAAAGTCAGAATTATTAGCCTCCCTTTGAATTTTTTTTTTCTTTCTTAATATTTCCCAAATAATGTTTCACAGAGCAAGGAAATTTTCACAGTATGTGATAATATTTCTTCTTCTGGAGAAAGTCTTATTTGTTTTATTTCGGCTAGAATAAAAACAGTTTTTAATTTTTTAAATACCATTTTAAGGGATTGACTGGTGGCTAATAATTCAGAGTGGCTAATAATTGTGACTTGTATGATATGTATGTATATATAAAACTCGTAAATCAAAAAGTTTTCTAAAAAAGCAAAAATATTGTTTTGATTCCAGAAATAAGTCGTCAACATTAAGCAAGGTTTTACGGTAACACTTTACAATAACATGAATAATGATGTATTAACATGTAAACTAAACATTAAATTATTATGAATTAATGATGAGTAGGGACGGACAAAATTTGCGGACATTTTTGTAAAAAAAAAAAATAATAATAATAATATATATATATATATATATATATATATATTATATATATATATATATATATATATATATATATAAAGATTTATATAAATCTTAAATAATTTTTTCGATTATTTTAATAGCCCTTTCTAATGCAAATATTTTACAGACACTTCTCTTGCCTTATTTCTATTTGTTTTATATTCTGTCTTTTTATTTTTACCTTGTCTTTTTTATTTTTACCTTATGTATGTTGTGACTGCTTGTAAATGTGCTTTATAAATAAATGAACTTGAACTTACTTACTTACAAACTTAACTACTTGTTAGTAAATTTTTGCTAATTATTTAACATTTAAGTTTAAGCTTAATGTAACCAGCATGAACTCATAAGCTGTTAATACATAATTATGTCATGACTTTACTTGGAGGGGTGTCATGAACTCCTGTGTTTAAACTGTTGATGTTGACACTTTGTTGAACACTTTTCGTTAACACAGATCACAATTCATGGTAATAACAAACCATTAACAAACACTACTAGCTTAATAAACTACTAATTAGCTGTTTATTAATAGTTAGTAAGGTAGTCGTTGGGTTTAGGTTTTGAGTTGGATTAGGGATCTAGAATAAGATCATACTTTATATCTACAAATGAACAGATCATATCTTAGTAATAGACAGGTAATAAGCCAGTAGTTAATAGCATGAATTGTGACCTGAACTAAAGTGTTACCCACTTTTCTATTGTTATTCAGTGTAAACGCACTAGTTGGACATTTATAAGGAGATTATAAGTAGTTAAGAATAGGTAAATGATGAAATCCCCCTCTAAGTAAAGTCATGAAAACAGCTCAT